ACTAAAACTTCAAAAGGGGGAGGGGGGCCTGCATGCTCCCAGCCCTGCTCAGCACCCTCCACTGGGCTCCTCCATCATGGGGTGGGGGGGCAAGAACCCAAGAAAATCCTATGCCCCTCACTAGCCCTTTCCACCCAGGGAACCACTGTATGGCCTGCTCTGCACTGCAGGTTTCAGACACTGCTGTTCAGGTACCCCCATGACTGCCCTAGTGGAGTCAGGGAAACCTTGGGAGGCAGTATTACCTAGTGCATAGCGCACGGCATTCGCACTCAGGAGACCTGGGTTCTATACCCAGCTCAGTCACTAGCCTAGTGAATGACCTCGAGCAAGTCACTTCCCCCCCCATGCCTCAGTTTCCCCACCTGCAAAATGAGGCTAATGATACTGACGTCCCTTTGTAAAGTGCTTGAGATCTACTGATGAAAAGAACTAGGGATTATTATTTGCAACTGCACTGTTTATCCCTGCTTGAAACCGGGAGAAGCTGCATGGTTCAGATCGGGGCTTAGAGCAGTTTTGTGTATCTACACTAAGGGTTAGGGAGTGGGGCAGCTACTGCAAATGGGTCACAGCCCCATTGTCAACAAGGCCTATGTTAATCTCTTCTATAGGGGTTCTTATACGGAGCAGAGTATCATCATCTTCATTTTGCACCTGGGGAAACTGAGGTACAGAGTGTGAAAGTGACTTATTATTATCTATATTACAGCAATGCCTAGAAGCCCTGATCAGGGCCCATTGTGCTCAGCACTGTATCAACATATATGAAGGAAAGGTCCCTGCCCCAAAGACCTGAATAAAGAATAAATGGACACAAATCAGACGTCAAGAATTATAACATTAAAAAACCAGTTGGAGAACACTTCAACCTCCCTGGTCACTCAATTACAGAGCTAAAAATCGCAATTCTCCAACAAAAAAACTTCAAAAACAGACTCCAATGAGAAACTGCAGAACTGGAATTAATTTGCAAACTGGACACCATTAAATTAGGCTTGAATAAAGACTGGGAGTGGATGGGTCATTACACAAAGTAAAAACTATTTCCCCATGCTAATTTTTCCCCTACTAGAAGTGTAAGTATTCTCACACTTCTTATCAAACTGTCTGTACTGGGCTAGCTTGATTATCACTTCAAAA